TAGCAACACTAAAATGCAAATAAAACCAAGCACAGACATGTACATTGGATGTCCCCACCAGCCACGCTGGAGGTGGGGCATTCAGTCTGGGATAATTAAGCCCCAGGGAACTAAGCTGTGCGTTGTAGGCTACAAAAATGAGAGCTGGGATATTTAGCAGTAGTGGTGGGTTTTGAGGTTTATTTTTTTCTTTGTTTTACGTTGTGTGTGGTGTGTTGTTGGAGGCTTCCTGCTTGTTTGAAGGCAAATTTTAGCACACTCCTCTGCTGGCTTACAGAACTGTTCAGGATGTGTTTCTGGACTTTCACTTTATTCTGTTTTGTCATTTTCTGTTGGCATAGCATGCTACCCATCTGGCACAACACTGCACTTTGTGTTACAAATCTGAATGCTGAACTTGCTGAAGACAATACAGTCTTAGGACTATTTTTCATTGTAACACTTTTTTTATATTGTGTTTGGCCTTAGGAGGAGAAGAAAGCATCCATCATCAGTCTTGTCTCTCTCTTTTTCCATTCAGAAATGAAATGTAGTAAATGAAAGTGTTTTTCATAAAGAGCACATATACGACAGAGTGCGTTGTGCTTTCCTAAATTAAATGGAAATATTTGAAACTAAGCTTGCCTGTTCTTGTAAATCCCTGTTGTCTATCTTCTCTTTGGCATTCGAAAGCCATTTTAAAGGCAAAGGAACTCTTCCAAGAGTACGTTCAAAGCTATTTCACTTTTAATCTGCTAACACTGCATTTGAAATCCTTTAACATACAGTTGAATGAGCTGAAATATGGCCGGTGTACACAAGTCAGAAATGACAAGGCAGTATGTAAGGATAGTATATAGCTTTCCTTCCCCCTTCATTCATTGTGGACCATCATCTGGGTCGGGCACTAGGCTGAGACTATTTCCTTCCTCTGTCTCAGACTTCCCTGTACAAACCAGAGCAAAGCAACTAAGCCTTGCTCCTCCCATGCTCACCTGTGCTGACCAACTTTGCAAATAATCAGTTAAGCAAATTAGGAATCAAAATGTGTTTCCATCTGAATTAAGACTGTGTAAATACAAACACATCTGTAACAGCTGGTTAAAAGTATTTATTAATATGCATGTTGCAACAGTGGTGGGGCAATTACGTGTATGCATTTTAAATAATTTCATTTCTGTATTTGAATGGAAACAGGAGATTCATCCTCACAATGTCAGAAATGTACAGAGCAGAAATCAAAGCACAGCATGCAAAGGTAGCTTAAAGATTTCCTTTCCACATCTACACAATCTTCTGGTTTAGATGCTTTACTGAAAGGCATTTTCTGCTTAAGTGAACACTCTTCTGCCTCTCAGAGCACCCCATGGGCATTCAGTCTTGCCCCCAAAGGTGGGGTGCCTCAATCTTCCCTGAGGCACAGTGTGGATCAGAGGCACTTGCCTTCCTATCCCCAGGGGAGCCTTTACTTCTCCGCCAGAACTCAGCAGACTCCATTTCCATACACCTCAGCACAGGGCTGGCTCCTTTTCAGGTCAGTACCCTTGAGACACCCACAACAGCAGCCAGCAGAGTGGCAAAAACCCAAAGCCCTCATCTCCTCCTGATGTCTCTTGCTGTGGTTCTTGGGAAGCACGTCTAGCAGTGCTGCCCCTCCTGCCCTGTGCGCTATCGGCTTGTTGCTGTTGTGGCTGTGCTCCCATCCTCTGGGGTGAGGCCTGGGGCAAGGCCAGCAGTACAGGGGAAAAGGACGGTACAGCCCATTTGGAGACCTGCCACCTGTGAATGGAGCTTGTCACCTTACGGGACAGCCCAACCCCAAAGCACGCCTGGCTTCTCATGCCCGCTGCAAGCTTCCTGAGTGCTGCTTCAACCATCACCACCTCGTATAACCAGAAGGGATTAGAAGTCTGCCAGGCAAGAATCTCTCTTTTACCGTAGCAGTAAAGATGAGTTGTGCATAAGCCCCTCTGAAAGTGCTCTGCCACTGAGTTCAGGATTCCCCTTCAGCGCTTGTCCCATGTCAGGCACAGAAATGACATGGCATGCTTGATGAGCTCATTCAAGGTCTTTAATAATTCATGTCCTGCTTCTGCCAATTAATATATCCAATGTAATGAGTGGAGCTAACAGACCATTTTGTATCAGCCAAAGAGCTGTCTCAAAGTCTCAGTCCCTTGTCTGTTGGACTTAGTTGTGGAAATTATGATTGCACAAACAGAAGTTTAGGTAATGCAAGATAAATAGAAGATGGAGTTGAACCCTTAAGGAAGAAAATAATATTTTCATTTACAGGTTACTGGTAATAGTAACTCTGAGAAAATGAATTAGACATTCAAATCTTCCCCTGTCATACATAGCCAGATTTATTCCTAAATAGAATGTTTTCAAAATTTCCAGTGGCATTTCAGCTGTTCATTGAAGTGTGCTGTAGGATATAGTGACGATTTATTACACAGCTATAAAAGCACTGGTAATCATTGTAAGTATAAGCCTTCACATGTTTCTTTGCCTATGCTTTAAATGCTTTTTTTTTTCCCATCACTCAATCTAGTGAAACAGTGATTGTAGCAATCAGTAAGCAAGGAGTCACCTTCTCCAGCTGCCGATGTCTTAGTCTGTTTTATACAACAGATAGGAGGTATGCACAGGCTATGATAGGCAACCACCTGTAAAATACGGTTCTAGATATGTGCCAAACTGGACAGTCATATAGTTGGGAACGAAATTAATCAGAAAAAAGGCAGCTGTGCTGATGACCATCCACATCTGAAACAACAGGGAAACATTTACTATCATGGATGGATGCCCTTGTTTCAAACACAGTTGGGAAAATGTTATGCAACACTAATGCATTAAAAAAAATAATTTCTATACCTTTCATAGTGGGTTTCTGTGACACTTGGAGCATCTCATCTGATCTGTACTCTGACTGCCACAGCAAAATCTTGCTGCTGTGGGTTACTTGCATCTTGTCATATTGGTTCTCATCTTTAAAGGGCACCTGCCTCAGCGCTTGCAAATGTCTGTCTGGCAATGTCTTTACGCTGAATTTGGTAGTGTGCTGCAGTCTTCTTGTGAGCTCAGCTAATCAGTGAACAGTGACAGCCCCAGGTGACGTATTTGACTAACTGGCAGCTAATCAAGCATATTTGAATTTTGCATGTCACATATTGGCAGCAAACTGTTCACAACATATTCATCAAATACATTTTTAATTCATTTAAGAAATGCATTTCAGGCAATGCTCATCAGTTTACATATCTGTAGGGTGGTGAAGCAGCTCACATGCATCTGAAAAATTGTCTATTGAATTATTCATTCTATTTTATCTTTTCATATTTTTATTTCTTTATTTTTTATCAAATAACAGACAAAAATTATTTTTCCAAGAGTTCCATGGTTAGTGTTAGTTATCAAAATGTTGTAGCTAACTGCTAGTATCAGTCGATTTTTCATCATTTTCTCTTCCTTTTCTTGATCTTGGAACACCACTAATTATAATGTCTAAAAAGCTTTCTACTTTTGTCATGTGGAATCAAATAGCATAAGGATTCAAAGCGTATGAATGTGACTGCTGTGAGTACCCACAGTGAAAATGGCAAGAAAAGGCTTTATCTTCATCTTGTGACAGGAAAGTTGAGTAATTAGCATAAGTTTACGTGTTTTTATTAGACAAGTAATTAGCAGCCAGAGAATACGGTGTTGTAGAGTTGACCTAGATTTTATTATGGTATTGTACCATTCAAAAACAGACCCAGTTTCTGAACTACTTAGGTGTGCGATTACACAATGGAATTGTCCTCCTAAAATACATTGACAATTACCAGAATTGTGCATGCCACTGGGAAATTGCTTATACTAATTATTATCGTTAGCTACTTGAATACAAAATATCTGCAAATGCTTGAGGAATTAGACATAAAATAGATTCTCTTCTTTCAGGTCAGCTGTGTATGTATTGCTAAAGACTAGGGGAGAAAGATTAAACATGTAATTAGGTTATAGATTTTTCTTTCATATACTCACAAACATCTATGTGAGATTGTCATTTACAAATGGAAAATTTAGTTAATATTTTAATTTGCTTACTTCATGATACTTGGATAATACTAAAGATATTCCAAGAAAAATATTGAAGAATTGCTCTTTCAATACTTTATTCATTGATTAATTGTTTAAAAAGCAATATCCATAGAACTAATTGTATTGCATAAGAGGCATGACATGGGTCACTTCTTGTGGCTCACATCCTTATAGGATGCCTTGCAGTGTGAAGACAGCAATTAGCTGGCATTTTCAGAAGACAAAACGTCTCGCAGGTGGAGGATTGTAGCTACACGTCATAACCTTTGCTAGTCGACTCTAGGCACATATGGCAGGAGTATAGGTTGTGCTCATTACCTATGGGGTGTTTTCTTTTGTTTCTGACTACCGGTGCATCGTATCTGTTACTGGTATTGGAAAGCTGGGGACTGTTATCACTTCAGAAATATAACTGTGGTTTTTAAACTTATAATTTGACATCAAGTCATGTAAAGGTGCTTCCCTAGCCTACATTTTCTCAACTTTCAGCTTAAGCCAGGAATAAAATAAATTTTAAAGCACACCAAACTTTACCAGGCACCCCAAGTTCTTGGAAATATTTCCCAGGTTAAGATGTACTATGAGTGCATTGGCATGTTGTTTAAGATTTGCCTACCCTATTTGCCCATACACCCTTAAAAGCTCCATGATAAGCAGCCCCATTACACAGGTACATGTGCGGTTATCAGAGTCACGGCACCAGCAGATCTGATCTGCACCAGGTTTTCGCAGAGGAACAACACTTTAGAGAAATAGAGCCCCTCGAGTTCCTACAAACCATTTCAAGAAGTGGATGCTCAGCTGATGTGTTTAAGATTCTGCAGCCAACCTTACTATTTATTGGGCCTCTCCTTTCTTTACCTCCCTATTGATGATGCCAGTTAGACTTGATGAAATATCTATTTTCTTTTTCTAATTTTCCCCAAACGTCCCAGGATATCCAGTGAACACTCGCCAAAGCTTCAGATCCGGAGCCACAGTTACCTGAGGGCAGTGAGTGAAGTCTCCATCAACAGGAGCCTGGACAGCCTGGACCCCGCGGGGCTGCTGACGTCTCCCAAGTTCCGCTCCCGCAACGAGAGCTACATGAGGGCCATGAGCACCATCAGCCAGGTGGGTGATACACATTCATGGTGGCTTGGAGTGCAGCCGCCATGCTGGACACCGGCTGAGCCCTTGCAATAGAAGAAACTTGATTTTGCTTTAAGTGGAATCAGGCTGTTGTATGCCACACACTTTCATAACATTTTTTAAGAAAACAGAAATGTTTTCCCACAATCTTGTTTTTAAGAGGGTAACATTTGATAGTGCCATAACCTGCCCTTTGCAAATGGATGAGTGGCACAACAGGCAATTCATCTGAAGGAGCAGTCTAATTTTTTATTTTTCTTTTCCAAAAGCAGGTGCTCATCAACAGTGTCTTTAAACAGGGTTCTCTGAAGGATCTTGTGCTTAGTACCTGAAATCAAAATTTTTGGAATGCCTCCAAAAAAAAAAACCCACATTCACATGCTGAGTGAGATGCTAAAGCAAAATTAAGCCTGTAGTATTTTGTATTTCACAATTTTATTAGTATTTTAAAGCTTGCTTTGTGGTATCATATGCATTCTGAACCCCATGCAGACAATTCAGGTCTCAGAGGCAATATATGAACATTATGTTGGGTTTCTTATTTAGCTAGATACCTAACAATTATACAAGCATCTGCCAAAGCTTCTGTGTTATTTGCCAATATGAAGAAGTTTGTTTGGAGATATAGCTAGTCTCCACCACTGTAGGATTGTTCTTTATTATGTACTATTCACTACTCTTCCATGCTCTTTTAAGCAGTTTCCCTTTGAAAAAATATATTCAACAATTTGAAATTTCCCTTCTCATTTATATGTACAAATGCCAGCATAATGTTTTCCTTGGTAAAATTAATCCTGGAAAATAATTTCTAATGTTTTTTTTCCACCACCCTAACACAGTCTTATCTTCCAATCTTGGCCTTTTGCACACTTGAAAACTAACTAAATCCTCAAGTGATGGTTTCCATATGCATGTTTCCTACAGTGATAATTACTGTGCTTTAACGCCAAGCTAAAGGCTCTATTCTCAACTAAGAAACATCCATTACTAATTAAGCTGAGGTAAATGGTTTCCAGGTTTGTAAGACCTGCAGCAAAGCCACATGCTTTTGAATGTTGTTTAACCTGCAAGAGTGTAAGTCTTTGTCACCACCTAGTGTCTGCTCCACAAAGGGTCTAAGGATTCCCTTGCATCTCACTCACAGCCAAAGTCAGCCTAAAGATGTAGTTATACAAACATTTTTCACCTGCAGCAAAGTTGGTTCCCTTATCAACCTCCCCTTCCAAACCCCTCAGGTTTATCACTGTGATTGATTATGGGTTGCGTTGATTGTGTACCAGAGTTAAGCTGACCTTTTTTTTCCTCACCCCCCCTAAAGCAAGAGTGATTTTTTTTGTTTCCAATGTAATGGTCATAATGGCCAGAGGTTCAACCTCTGCTGTGGACCCAGGGTGAGATAGACCAGACACTGCTATGAGTACTCCCAGCTTACCGCCAGTCTTGGCAGGAGCCAGATATCACAGAATCACAGAATAACAGGGGCTGGAAGAGACCTCTTAAAATCACCCTGCTGGATCAGGATCACCCAGAGAAGATCACACAGGAACACATCCAGACAGGTTTTGAATGTCTCCAGAGAAGAGCCTAAACTCTGCTGAATCTCTGCCTAAAGCCTCTGTCTCTCCTTTTTGTACATTATTTTTTTCCCCTTAACATTTGTTGTTTTGTAAAATGGGACATGTTTATGTGCCATTCATCTGTTCTTCATGTGTGAAGGGATACTCTAACAGATGCTGGCCGTTGTGCCACTGTAGCTTGTGTGTGTTTGTAAGCTGGTGTATAGGGTGTACTGAACCTGCCCGGTCTTTGCCTGCAGGTGAGTGAGATGGAGGTGAACGGTCAGTTCGAATCCGTCTGCGAGTCGGTGTTCAGTGAACTCGAGTCTCAGGCAGTGGAGGCACTGGACCTGCCTATGCCGGGCTGCTTCCGCATGAGGAGCCACAGCTACGTCAGAGCCATTGAGAAGGGCTGCTCCCAAGACGACGAGTGCATATCGCTGCGGTCCTCATCTCCCCCACGTACAACCACCACAGTGAGGACCATCCAGAGTAGTACTGGTGAGTAACAAAGAGGGAAATCCAGAGGGGTCGTGGAAAGCAAAGGTACCGCTCTGTGCAGCTCCATCAGATCAATGATGAGCTCTTCTCTGTCAGATACCAAGAGAGTCCGTGTTTCACAAGGGAGCTGAACAGATTAATCAGCCTAAAACTGCACAAATATCAAGGCTGATATAGTTTTGGTGCCTCCTATGTCCAATATAATTTATTCTGGGCTAAAAGCACATAGAAGGGAAGTCCAAGGTCATGTCTCTTTTTGCTCTCCTCCCCAAAAGAGCAATCACAATTTGGCAAGGCTGAACAAGAAGGCTCTAGGTTAGGATCCCTCTGCTGAATTTCTCTACAAAGATGAAGTGATCTTTGTCTTTTCTAAAAGTTACAAGTTATTGGATGTGTTGTTTAATGGCTCAGACTGTTACCTGCTCTCTAGGCCGTATCTCAGAGGTGAAAATGAAGAAGGGAAGAAGAGGTTTGCAGGTCAAAACATGTATCTTCACATTGTTGTTATTCATTTTGCAGTTTAAACTATTCAAGCCTTGCAAGAGAGAGAGGTCTTGGTCTAAATGTGAGACTTATAAACCTTCCTTTTAATATTTGAAGTTGCTTTCCTTTTGGAAATATCCTTGTTGAATTTCAAATAATTCTGTCACCAACATTAAAGCTTAAGGGGAAGAAAAAGCAAGTCAGAAGCCAAAATCCAAATCTACCTCTGTCATTCAGGAAATCAAGAGGCAGGAACTGTGTGTCTAGGGGGACAAGAGAGCCTCTTCCTTTTGACTTCTCTGCACCCGTGCCATTGGTTTACACAAACTTCATTTACTAGTCATGTCCTATTCATATTCATCACTAATATTGACTATTATAAGTATTATGCTGTACCTACTATCTCTTTTCCCAGTACCTTAATTTCTGTTTTCTATACTTTAAACTTTTGCCTTTTTGTGTTTTATCTCACAGGTGCAGTTGTTTGTAACTTGTAAGTTCCTTATCTCTCACTCCAGTCTTTTATAAAACCTTTTGTCACTTGGTTTATTCATCAAAGGACACTTTCAATCCTTTTACCAAAAATGTTCAGCTTAATTCATGATTTTTCTAAAAGTAACAAGTTTAAGTACCATTGGAAATCCACTGGCAGTACATCACAAACATCAAAGTGTTTTTAAGAAATGCTGCAGAG